AATGCTTGCTGACTGAACATAATCATCGCTCAAGTTTGCAAATCATTTCTACAGTTATACATTCACCACTGCACAAGGAAAGCGTACTCCAAATCCCTAGTCCTTCAACCAAACGAACACACTAATCCCTCGCATGTAGCCGAAATTTGCATAGCCAATTCTTTCCCGGTCTTACCTCAGCTGGGAGTGGAATTAGTTCAATCAGTTGAATTAAAATGTGATTAGTATATTCTGGGAACTCGAAAAGGTGCATAAAAACATCACACTAAACATGTAAAATTGTCATGCTATATGATGAAGCACACGGAAATAGCTCACAGCATTCTCAACTTTCAACCAGGTTGTTCGAGTTGTGACACCCAGATAACAATTTATGAACCGAAAACCTTCACTCCTCTATGTGGATCACAATCAAGAGAATACTTGCAGTCGTCTGCTAACGAGTAAATTATCGATAATCCTACTATAAAATGCATTTTTCGCGCAATAATAGAGTCGAATGAAAGAACTCGCGAAGTGTAATACAATCCCACTGCACAGATAGACTGTCAAACGAGGGGAGTGTAGGAAAACAGAAGCCACTCATAGGACGAAATAGTAGTTCATTCTAAAACTTAGTCCACTCCCTCCCGCTATTTCAAAACGGCTGAAACACACGATACTGCAATCGTCATAATTCTGAATGTGCTGTTGGATAGAAAGTGCACCCGCGATAGTAAACAATGGATAGTCAATTACAAGATGCATAAATGAACGGTACATGATCCACACGTAAACACACGTTGTTTTACACAAACCATTCAGCCGAAGGATGAGGAACGATAGGACCGTAGCTATATTATGCCAATAGAGCTATTGACAATACAATAGTCATGGAGGTTACACCACAATATCAATCCCTCCAGGTACAGTTGCATGCATACTGAAGATGAACTATGAGGGGAGAAAAACACTTTCATCCACAAAAAGGCTGTCTGCATCGGCATATAGTTCCAGCAACACGGCAGTCTCTGTGAGCGGGACGCGAAAAAAAATTTGCTTGCCAGAAAATAACAAATTACGAACAGTTGCAAACTAGTCCACTAGCATTAATCCGTATTCTATGATTATAGTCAAGATGAAGACGCCAATGGCGAATAAATAAGAAAGACCACGGGATCTGTTAGGTCCAGTGCCCAGTTAATATATCGACTGATAGGGAAGTTGTTCAAATAGTTGTTTGGCAGATTTAGAAGTTTGTATGTCGATTGTGAAAAGTTCAGTGGCCTCGGTGGGATTCGAACCCATGCATGGAAGCCGCCTACGCTTTGTACGCGCATGCTCTACCAGCTGAGTTGATAGGGAAGTGTCAATGGCGAAGATTGCAAAATCTATGAATCGAGCTATTTGATGAAAACTCAACATATGAGGCAGTGTCGTCTTATGGTTCAAATTGTCATCCTATTCAGCCTATGATAATGCATTTGGTGTGTGATTTTGCAGTCTGATCAAGTAAAAGGTTAATGCTATTCACACGAATCGGACACGTCTGGGCGACAAATCGATCACGTAGATTTAGAATCGTATGCTGGGAACTGGACTGTGTGAGATCCGATATCGGTCGGAAATTGAATCATTTAATGACAAACGGATCGATGCCAATTAGTGCAGTTAGTTTAGCTGCATGTACATGACAAATGAAATCAAAGGGGTAGCCGGATAATTGTTAAGGTGCATGATTTCGAACATTAAGGTCATACCTTTTCCATGAAAAATATCGCGGAATCCATACACTGGTCATATAGTACCAGGGTATCTTAAACAGGATAAGATGTAGATAAACAAACACAATCGAGGAATATGCTACGCGGACTAGAAACAATTATATTTGGATAGCAGATGTTTTCGAATGGTAAGAGCGGAAGAAATTCGTAATTTCGACACAAACAACATACTCCCTAGACCGATTGTGAATTTTTCTTCTTTTCCTTTGTGCACATCATCATCCAAATGGAAGCCATTCAATTCTTCATTATTGCACTTCAAATAAAAACGAAGACACAAGGGCAAGCTGAATATCAACAGAAAACCACAACCGGTTGTTAGAATGAATACAAATGCGAACGTAATTGCAAAACTGTCATCTTGGTTGACTGGAATAACCACCGAGATGAAAACAAATGAAAAGAAGGAGAGATGAAACCAGCTAATGACGGAACACGAGTCTCTTACAAAGCGGTTGGGTTTTTAAAAAACGTGTCAGAGTTAGGATGTTAAAAACCGATATGACATTTTTGGATGATAAATAGGTTTAACTTAAGCCCTATCGAAATGGATCAACACAATACGAGAATTTAGGAAGGAAACCGGTCCGTGATTCATGGGTTGAATCAGTTTTTCATAAATTAGAGTACCAACCCAGACCCGTAAAATTATTATAAATGTGATTCTCGCCGGACGTATGAGAAACGTTTACCCACAAACCAACGGGAGCGTAGTAGCGCTTGTGACATATTAGATACACTCCGTTTTTCTTATACTTAGATATTTTACCAGATCAACAGCCAGAGACTTGTGATAAACTTGAGCACTTTTTCGAAAACAAATCGTATAATGAGGAAAAAACTGAAGACTCAAATCGGTAACCAAATATAACGTCCCGTAACAGGTTAGAGAAGAGAAAAAGCTATCACCCGACGGACTCAATCAAAAACCACTCAGCAGTCCCACACAAAACTACGCTTCTGATGTCCCAAAGGAACGAATGCGGCCAGATGGTAATAATAATCGTCTAACCGATCGCACTTAGGATGTCCCATTTGACAACCATTACACTAAAATCACTAAACATCAAGAGGTAGAGGAAAGTTGGAGTAAAAACACGCTTTTTGATGATGCTCTGACTGACAGAGAATGTTCTTGACGTCAGTTTCAACGTCTACGCACAACTAGAGATTTATATCAGAATTTCTGAAAAGTCAGTAGGCATTGCGCGGTCGTGCCTAATCAGCGTGCACTACAGTGAGATCCATCAGTGTACATTTTTACGGTACGTTAATTGCAAACCATCTTTCTAATGGGATGGAAGTTTCTAACTTGCGAATATAGTTAATGCTAAAATCACCAGTTGAGTAAAAAAAGAAAAACAATCCAAGTTACGACAGTTTTTCTTTTGAACAAGAGCGATATTACAGTAAATACAATCAAAGAACTGGAGATTAGCCAATCCATTGCCGAAAGCTACATGTCTAAATTATGTGCGACTGAAATGCAAATATCCCCGCTCCAGTTTATACATTTTGATGGCGTAAGCGATGCATCGCAGGTAGAATGATTCTAAGGAAAGGAAAGTGAAAAAACACCTGCACGAAATGGTCAAACTGACATCCGTGGAGTAAATCAAACCAATATCACAAAAATGAAAAACGTACAGATTATGTGAAGAAAAAAGTGTCTCGTTTGGTTGTCCCAATTTAGAGCATGGCTAGACAGCGCAAAAGTACACAGCTGAGGGAATTGCACATGTGTTGGCAGTATCAATTTGACACGGGATGTGTCGGCCAATTGTGAAGTGAACAGCGCTTGTGACCATAAGGGGAATGAAGAAATAAAATCCAATGCAAAAAAACAATCGGAGTTAAAGAAAAAGACAAATTACGGGGGGAGGGAGGACACTATGTGGCATTCGTGCTAGTCTGTCTTGGGGGAAGAAGCTTGTCGTGTAGCTCGACTGGTCAGAGTTCGCCAGACGCACATGAGTAAAGCAATCTGGACGACTACCAACGGAAGTAAAGGGATTCCGACGAGAAAACTGTAATCCGCGGCTGCATGACCCAACGCTAAAGTCCAATAAACCATGACAAACAGAGCAAGGAATTCATATTCTTGTGGCGGAAGCCGGAATACCAACGGCATGATGACGACCAGGATGAAGTTTGACAGTGTGCAAACGACGGGTTGAATTAATGTCAATTCAACAATCGACCTAGCCAGTCAACGATCCGGCACGCCAGGTCGGGCCAATGATGGATCGATGTTTAGCGTTCAAAATTGTGTGAGTGCGGATTTATGTATGTGTACTCTCAGCTGGCACGTGTACACCGAAGCAAGCAATCCAAAACACTTGCCAGCACAAACGAGAATCCAAAAAACGTCGCGAGAGTGACACAACCACAGACGGATTACGCCGTCAACTGAGTTTCCGACATGAGTTCTGAGCCGATGGAAACACAAATATCCGCTTGTTTATGCACACAAAAGCACTTCGATGCACTGACTCACAAATACAGCAACAAGTATATGCGTGCTTAAAAGCCGAAAGGTGGTACGGATGCGAGAAGCACGTGCTGCTCGAGCGTTCAGTTGCACTCCACAAATGGAATAATTAGACACCGAGTTTCTTTACTTTGGAGGAAAAAGACCAGCGGTCCAGCGCTAGTCGCTCTTTGATTGTCGGACAGGTTGTGGTTCCATGCTCACCAGAACAGGCCGTGTCCTGACTAAGCATATTGCTGATAGGCTGCCTTAATGGACCGACGGAACGTGTACCTGACACACCTTCAGATGTGTGTGTATATGCGCGCTGGGTCGGCTGACGATTGCCAACCAATCGGAAACGAGAAAAGATAAACAAATACGCACTTGTGTTGGTTGCAAACGAAAAGGGAAGACTGGCACGTGTCTGACGAATACAAACGGTTGCCTCTCCAAGCAGCCAAACAAACGCCATGTGAAGTGGAGGGACAGGTCTTCACACAGAACTTGCATTAACGGCTCAGCGACATGCGTGTGCGAATGTGAATCCTGCTGGGCAAAGTGACCGGACATAATCCAGTGGGAGCACGCAGAGCACAGGCACTGAGCAAGCAAGCAAAAGACTGAACACCAGAGGATGCTAAGCTGAAGCAGGTGTACGACAAAGAAGATAGCATCAGAATGGAATGGGAATTTTCCGCCTTCGGTGAATAGAGATGTTAAAATGGCGATCGATGAAGAAAAGATGACTAATCATCATCCGTCCCTTGGAAATCATGACAATTAAAAGCACAGCCACCGAGAGGAGCTTGAAATGCAAAAGAACATCGTGGTTCAAAGGGTCAGTGAAATAGTCCCACTACGAACATAACACATGTATGGAGTAGTTTCTTTGTTATAAAAATGTTCGTATTGTTATGACTCGTTGGTCACAGTTTGGACTCAGATAAGTGCGAAGTATAAGATATTATACCATGGAAGACAAACTGAAACAGTTGCTGGATCTACCGAAGAAATTTTTGTGACAACCACAAGAAAGTGCAAGTAACGGAGGCATTTACAAACAATATTTTACTGCGTTAAACATCCTAACAATAAACTTCACTAGTAAACAGATGAGGTAAATGAATTTCATCTATTAGGATTTCGTTGTTTTCGTCGCAAGTGGCCAAGCAGTCTTTGTCAACAAATAACAATTCGGTCCGTCCACGATCCCTTTCCTTTCTGACCCATTGAAAACAAATCACATAAATTATAGCAGTTATGGTTTAACTGATGTATAATCCCTTTTGCGCTAGAGTACTCGAAACACGATGTACGACGAATTTTGGCGTCCTAGTTAGAGTATATACTTGGTGCGGGTTGAACCCGTTGAGTTGTTGATTGATAAACAGAAGTGTTCCTTTGAGTGTTGAACCGCCTAATTATTGGACAAGCGCACGCACGAATAGAAAAATGAGGCTGCAGGGGTTTTTAGATTTACGTCCTTCAGTGTCGACCAACATCACTAAGACTAAGTTAAGTTCATATGATTAATGCGGATGGTTTCACTGCCCTCCTTGAAAAGAGTTAACATGTTTCGACGACTCACAAACCGCAGCAACCTGACAAAGTCGTTCCAACGGCACAGATATTTGGTTTATTCTTAGAAGCTCAAATCAAGTCAAGAAAAGTTCAATTAATTCATACTTTTAAAGAAACGCAAAGCTTATTGCATAATTCAGTTGCCTACCATAGCCAGTAAGGCAATCCCAAGGCCCTGGTTACGAATTCACCTGCTCCAGTCTGAACTACCTGGCAGTATTCCACCCAAATGCAAATCATGGAACTTTTTTCGTTGTAATAAGATTATTGAACCGCGATTTGTTTGGCACAGTTTGGTCTCAGATGTGTGTGAAATATGGTATACAGCACACACTGCGCATGCCTGCCCATCGACTACCTTTCCGTGCTCTCTTTGCACGTGCCGGGCAAGGCTGGAA